CACAGCCCTGCGAGGCCCAACAAAGCCCAGCCTTGCAAGAAGGGCCCAAGTCCACACGGATCTTCCCCCGGAGCCTGGCAAGGCTCTCCTCTTTGGAGAGCTCTGCTCCCAGCCCACGGCTGCATGGCTCTGCCTGCAGCCTGCCCCATCTATTAAATAAGGGCAACGTTATAGCATCATTAAAACTTAATAAATCCATTTCCCTATAAATACCATTCAATACAGGTTTTTTTTCGGAAGGGAATTAGGGTGAAAACTTGTTAGAGGAAAATGATTTACGCACAAATAAATTTTTGCAACTTGACCAAGCGTGAAAGTTTCCCATTAAAATGCAGCTCAGCTCCCTTTGCTGGAAACGTGCAAGAACCTAAATAACCAAGGCCTAAACATTAACCGTTTAACCGGCTTTTCCAATATTAACTGCAGGTGGCTCTGGGGGAAGGCGAGGACGTGCCGGGGGGATGCCAAAACCGGCAGCGATCACTGCACCAGGGAAATGCAGCCCGGGGCGATGATCCCGAGGGTCTGTTTTGGGGATATTTGGCTAGTTTTTGGACCCCGGTGTGGAGATGGGAGAGGGAAATGCCTAAATATCTTCCTCCTGCGCTGCCATGCATCCCTATGGGAGCGACGCCCATGGGATGGAGCACACTCTGGAAGTTCCAACGCCCGATCCAAAGCGATCCCCTGGACCTGGGGGTTCGTTAGCCGGGGAGAACACTCCGTCCGGATCCAGAGCGCGCCGGCCCGGGCTCCCTGCACCCTGCGGCTACTCCCTAGTTAAACACACTTCTGCCCCGTAAATTGCACATTCCACCCAGGAACGCGGGCTGTTACCCACGGGGACACCTCCAACACGAGCAGAACGAGGGTCACCGCACCTGCGGGCTCGGAAAGAGCGAGTTAATTTGCAAGCAATGTTATTTTAAAACTTGCTAACTGCCTGCTGATGATGTTATCCAGCCCCTTAATTGGCGGGCGGCTTGGTCCTGGGATGACTTATCCGTGTTTCCCTCGTGCAACATGCTGTAAATGGGAACAGCAGCATGTGCAGCATGAGCCGGCACGAACGGACCTACCCGGGGATCTTGCCCGGGTGGAAAAACAGCCCTGTGCAACCAGGGTGGTGTGAGAGGGAAGGGAGCGGAGTGAAATAAAAGGGAATTGCAGGTGCCAAAGCCAGTGCTCTGCTCTGCAGAAGTTCTGCAGCAACTTGGGTGAGGACAACCTGCACAAATAGCTCATGCTCTGCACCCCCGGGAGCTACAGAGCCAGCTCCTCCCTTTTCTGCTCATCTCAGTGCCACRAATACCCCCGAGGGTCCTCCTAAGGTATCTTCTCTTGAGCAGAACCAGTGGTGACCTCCAGCCCAACCGAGCTGTCTGGGAGAGCTCCATCACAGCCATCCAAGCAACGTGGGGGAAGACCAAAAACCTCAGACCAACCAACGCAACCCAAAAGGGAGTTAGCAGAGGTAAGCAGAACCACTTAAGGCAACGGGTAACCATGAAGACACCTTGGATTCTTCCAGAAACAAGCTAAAAATCCCACGGCTGTCCCAGTGGCCCCACCAACCCAAGTTCTCAGCAGAGTTTCTCCTCCACTGGATCCTGCAACAAAGTGACACTTTTGTATTTCCAGTCTCCCCCCTCTTGCCCATTTCCACCTTGTTCTTCCCGAGAATGAGATCAGACATGAAATAACCACCAAGAGCTCTCAACATGGCTGAATCACCCCTCGGCGGGTTCTTTAAGAGCTTCCTCCGCTCGATTGTTCAACACTCCACCCTCTTCCTCTCCAGCACCGAGACTGCATTTTTTCTTTGTTATTATTTCATGGAAATAACGTTGGGTTAAAGCACATGAGAAAGAAAAAAAAAAAATGAGACCAAAAGGAAACTTCCGCCCTTTGCCGTGAGATAACAATGACTGAGCAGTTGAATAACTTGGGGGGCAGAGCGAGCTGCAAAATTCAGATCGCTCCTCCGGCTTCCTGGTTGTCTCCAGAAAGAGCTTTAAGCTGAAATGGTCATTGCCTGTGGCTCTGGTCCCTCCTTCCGTGTCCCGGGCCACCCTTTGCCCACGGCAGCTGGCAGGGAGCAGCAGCTCGCGGCTCCATCCCTGCCACCGCGGCGCGACTCCCGATTCATAAACAGAGGAAGTACTTGAGCAAACTGACTTTTCCCCCTTTTCAGAGTGCGCCCAGTGATTAATTTAACTTATTCCTTTCCTTTGCAGCCCATTTTGCTTCTCTGGGCGAGACGAGGACGCCACAGGCGGAGCCTTCCTGGCTTTACCAGCGAGGCGCTGGTGGAGCGGGGCTCCCAGCTCAGCCCTCCTTCATRCCATCTGCTTCCAACTAGTGGAACAAGGGAGGTCCTGGGAATACAAGTCACGTGGCGCCGCAATCTAAAATCAGCCCTACTCATTTGCAGCGATGCCAGGCAAAAAAATCACAGTTGTCCCAAAGTCTAAGGAGGAGCTATCGCTACCAGCCCAAAGGAGCTTTTGGAAAAAAAAACTCATTCTGTCTGGGAAAAAAAAAAAAGTCTCGGTTAAAAAGAAGCCTTTTTGGGAAAACCACAGCTCCCCAACCTGGGAAACCCAAGCGCCGCGGCCACCAGCCACCATCTGCTGCCCAAGCCACCCGGCCAGGGGACTTTTTAGGGCTCTGACACAAGTGCCATGCGTGGGACAGAGATGCCCCACAGTGTCCCCARGGGTGCCCAGCAATCCCACTATTCCTGCCACGACGGAAAGCTGCTCCAAAGGCTGTTTAATTAGTCRCCTCCATGCGCAAGCCCTCCAGTCGATCAAACGCCCGGTCCCCCATTCAATTAAAGCTCAATGTGCCCCGGCCTGCCTGGCAAGGGGACAAGCAAGATAAGGGGCCCGCCGGGCTGCAAACTATCACTGTAAAATAATAAAGRCAGAGAAAGCTCCTCGCTTCACCCTGGTGGTTTCCTTTCCACAACAGGGCCGATAACTCCCAAACTGAGTTATCAGCGCGAGCTCTGAGTAACCCGACCAGCTCTCCCCTGCACGAACGCCAGGACACTCGTCCACCGGAGCAGCTTCTCCTTCCTACACTATTTATTTCACTCCGCTTTCTAATTGGATTTGTGGGGAAGCACAATGGAGCTTTATGGCCAAACTTTGTTAAGTGCCAGGCCGAAGGGAGATGTGGCCCGCAGCCAAAATGGTGCATTTCACGCAGGCGCCAAAGGGCAGTGCCAGCTTTTCTGTGTCTGGTATCTGTGTTCTTGGCTCTGCTTTGTTTAAGACGCTTGGAAGCAAAACTCCTCGTACAGAGATATTCAAACAAGTGAAAAAAAAAAGGAAAAAAAGGCACAGGATTTTGCTCGCTGCTATCAGATACCTCGAGGAGCTGCATCTCAGCTAGCCCGTCAGTACCTCTCGTATCTGCCTCGGTTGCTCGTTACACACGCGCCGTATGGGACGGCTGCTTCAGCAGAATGTGAACACGCACCTTAGCTTCCTGCAAATGACTCACACCTACTTGCAAAGCCATCGCGCTGCCTGCAGCTGCAGGAGTCACTTATTTACAGCTACCAATGAAGTTCTTTAAAGTTAACTTTTTTTTTTTTTTTTTAAAAAAAAAGCAACCCACAAGCCTACTTGAGGAGTGTTGCCTCTGCACAGAGCTCTCACACATCAGGTCTAATTAGATTCCATCACCATCTGCACATGAAATGTAAATCAGGAGTTGCAGAGACTTAAGGAAGAAAAGGAAAGAATGACCACAAGGAGAAGGAGGGGTGCAAGGTTGGGGAGGGGGATGGAGGGTTGGGCATTCTGGGAAGCCATACATGATTAGTCACACAGCATTAATCTGCCTCCCCTAACAATAGCTGCCGAATTTCGACCGAATCCCAGCTGTCGCTCTCTGAATGAAAGAAAACAAGATTTAGAGCGTCAAGCGTTGGTAAGGGCTTCTGTGCAAAAAAAAAAAGTGGCGTGCATTCATTAGGAGCTCACAAAGGGACCCAGCCTTTGTCCATTAAATTGCTCATGTGCCTGATTGATTTGCTGATTTATTTTCACCAAAGGGTTGGGGGGCTCAGCTTGGAGGACGGGGGGGTGGGAGGTGCCCGGGCGAGTAACGGCGCCCGGGCAGATTTGCAAAAAGCAACACACATTGTCAAGGAAAACGGCCATTCAACAGGTTGGGATTGGAAATGCCTTCAGGTTTCTGCACAGAGAAGAACTTCCTATTGGGAAATCTGGGGTGGGTGGGAACATCTCCCTGCCTGCTCTCGGCTTAGGGCACGTTTTGCAGGCRGAGGGGAAATCTGGCCGGAAAACAGAGCCTTGCCCATTCAGATTTCTTTTATGGAATAGTTTTAAAAAGGGAGCTGGAGTCGTATTCATTTCTCTGGGTTATTGTTCCCTGGGAGCCTGGAGTGAATCGGCCATCGCTGCGGTGGGTCGGTTGGTCCTTCAAAGAGTCCCAACATTTCACATTTTACATCCGTTTCCCCCCCAGTCCGCTCGCAGAAGGCGCCTGCACGGGTGCCAGGTCCCGGCGCTGGATGCCCCGCTTGGCACCAGCTCCAACCTTTACCAGAACGGACCCCTCAGACGTGCCTGGAGATGTCCCCAAAGCCGTGCTGCTAATTGCCGGCTGCGAAGCACCCACAAGCGAACCCCAAAAGTGGGATTCAGCCCACCCTCCCGCTTGCCCTGTGAGTTGCTACCTCGCTCCTGCTCCGTGATGCTCCTGCTCCATGATGCAGGGCAGCCCGCAGAGCTAACGCCAGCCAAACATGGCCCTTTGCCCATGTTTTTTCCACCCAGCGAGGAACAAAGCCCGATCCTGCCCAACTCGCGGCGACTCCTACACTAGCAGGTTCTTCTTGCCGCTCAAGGAAAGAGCACGCATCTCGCCCCATTAAATCCAGAGGCTTCAAAGCAAAGTCAACACGCACAGCAATACTTGGGGCTCGGGAGATGGAAATCCGCCGGCTCTTCCATACTTACTGGCACACCTCGGTCCCGTTGGGGAAGGTTTCGCACTTGCCGCCGTTGAGGCAGGACTCGGCAAGCTGCGTGCAGCGCAGACCTGCGGAGAGGAGCACAGCGTTAGCCCCGCAGCGGGACGGCCCCGGGGACCCGCGGGGCCACCACCGAGGCTGGGGGTCCCCGTGGTGGGCCCCACGGCTGCTCTCTAGACGGAGGAGCCCAGCAGACCCATGGCCCAGCGAGGAGCCGATTGCCTAAAAATAACCTGGGTGCTGGGTGGCAGACGAGTCCCTGCCTCCTTAGCACCCTGCCCAGAGCCCGAGGGCAGGATGGATGGTGGAAACCACTGGGTCAGGCCCTCGAGTGACAAATGCCACYGGGGAGACACCACCCGCCCCAGGGCTCGTGAGTTATCCTTGACTCGTGAGTTATCATTGACTCGCTACTGAAATGAGTCGCTCCTCACAACTCGCAGCGAGTGAAAGGTTTCGCTGTCTGGCCCTCGGAGCCAAATTCTGCTCAGTTTCCACAGCAACTCGCTCAAAGTAACAGAATCGCTTCCGATTTCTAGCAGGGCTCGCTGCCCCCTTCTCCTTCCCCGCCGGCGGGTCGCGGTGATGCTCGGGTGACACCGCTGTGCGCCGGGGCCACCGCAGRCCCCAGCGCTTCCAGCTCCAGCAGCCAAGACCCAACCGCTTTCCCAAAGGGTCGGGGTCCCCCCGGGGGTCTCTCCTGGTGCCTGCGGGGCGGGGGGGCTGCTCCGGCCCCACCGTTTTCCCGAACGG